AACCATAGAAGCCCTTGTATGACAAATTGCAGCCTTCTACGACAAGTTACAGAAACCGTTTTTGAAAGCCTCAAATTCAGGAACCGTAAACGAGCCCAGAATGAAAGGAAGCCTGAACCCTATTGGTGATAACCGAAGGCATCCGCAACGTCGAAGGCTCTAAACCCTACTAACCACTATCCCCTAACCCCCAAACCGTAAACCTCGAAACCCTAAACCCTAGACACCTGAACCTAAACCCCTAAACCCTGAGCCTACAACAGGAGACCAGGGCCCCAGCCATCCCCGTCCGACACTTCTTTCTTGAAGGACGCTCTTTTCATGAACTTGTCATCCTTGGGTTTAGGCTTTAGGGGTTTAGGCGGTTTAGGCTTAAGGGTTTAGGGTTTAGGGGATTAGGGTTTAGGCTGTAGGGTTTAGCTTTTTCAATATTTTGGTTAGGGAGGAATGCTGCAGACTCTTAGAGCTTTTGAGGTTTGAGGCTTGAAGCCCTGGGGATGCGGCTTCAGGGCTTGTCGGGACCGCTTCAAAAGTCACATAAGGGAACAATAGGGTAACATAAGAACAGTCACAAAACGTGGATGGTAGGGGAGCCGGTTCATCCCTGAAAGAAAGCTGAGAACGTGTCTCCGGCACTAAAAGGTTTATGGAGGGTCTTTCAGGATGTTCGCGGCTCCTCAAAAGGCATCCAGGGCTGTGCCTCTAGACCCTAAACCCTAAGCCCGAAAAACCGGCAACCCTGAATCCTAAACCATCCTAAGTCCTACATGCACTGACTATTGTACCGCAGGAGAAGTCTGAAGTTGAGACCATCGATCGGGGCTTTTGCATTGAGATATTTCTGGTCACCGGTGCTGAAAGGTGAATGGGAGAGTGGACCCTATCATATATCCCTATGAAACCCCTCCTCCACTCTCCCTAGGTTTTGTTGGGGTGGGGATAGGGGGGGGCGGGTTGCGGCTAAGGGCCTAAGCAGAATTGTCTATGACTGAGGGAATGCTATTACTAACCCTTCAGGGCTTAGATGATACACGGGCACTCAACACCCCTAAACCCCACACCCTAAACCAGGGTGTAGGGTTTAGGGCTTCGGGCTAAACCCTAAACCCCAAACCCTAACCCTAAACCCCAAACCGGTCCTCAGCCCTTAAAAATAACCCCCTCCTCCAGTCCAAAAGCCCGAAGAGCGAAGCCCTGGACCCTAAGCCCGAAAACGGAAACTCTGAATCCAAGACCATGATGATAATACGAGCATCCTCATCACCAACAACAACATCAATATAGCAATCACAAGCATGCGCGCAATCACAACCAGAAGTAGTTGTACCAAAAAGAGCAACGTCATAATAGAATCTTCATACTCGTAGTAGTCAATAATCATAATAATAGCCAAAATACTGTCATGTAATCTTGAAATATGCCGAGAGTCGGCTCCCTGAGGTACTCGGTTCTTCGGGGCATTGATCCAGGTGACCTTGGATCAGAAACTTAGGGTTTAGGGGTTTAGGGGTTTGGGGTTTAGGGTTTAGGGGTTTAGGTTTAGGATTTAGTGGTTGAGGGTTTTCGGGTTTTCGCGTGCGTTTAACGTAGCGGCTTTGGGTTTTAGGGTTTGGGCTTTGGGGTCCAAGCTTCAGGGTGTAGAGTTCAGGGATTGAGAAATAGGGTTTCGAGTTTAGGCGTTAGGCGGTGGAGTTGCGTTTATAGCATTTTAGTTTTAGGGCCGGTACGCCTGAAGCTGTATAGGCTCCCTGCATGCAGCTAGATGCAAGAAGACAGCTCAACCGAAACGTTTCACGCCATAAAGCAGAAAGCCAAACTAGTAACGGTGTAGAGGGGGCTGTGTTTAATACTTGATGGACAAATGCTCCTGCGCGAGCGCGAGCAGCAAGCCCCATTCCGAAGCAAGACAGTCGGTGAGTGAAACACCCAACAACTTACACGGTGTAGGGTTTAGGGTTCACGGTTTCGGGTTTAGGGATCTCCTGGGGCAAAAGTTTAGAGTTAGGCTCTCTATCAACTACTCCAGCTTTGTACTCGCCGAGTCGCTATAGAAGGATCCTCCACAGAGAGAAGGGTGTACTTGCAGGTCGACATGGCGTTGTGCACGCTTGGGGACACCTGGCAGTCGGCAGAAGTGCGGCAACCTCGAACACCTGCACCTCCCTGCACCCTGCTTACAGGATCATGGGACTTAGTAAGTAGGGTTATAGCTAAGGTAACTATACTTATAACCCCAATTAGGATACTTATAACCTTACTTACTAAGTCCCATGATCCTCTAAGTGAGAACCCCACCCCCCCACCCTCTGGGATCCTCAACCTGCACATGTGCCAGCTCCATTGTTGTGGTGCTCCAAGAGCTGTGCCCCCAACCCTTACAGCCCTACAGTACTGTTAAAAGGCTAAGCATATGCCTATGCATTCGGTGCGAGGCAGGGTCAGAAAAGTATCAGAAAGATTCTTGTCCAGGGGTTTTGGAGGCCCGTCACCAAGTACAAGTATTGAACCCTAATACTCAACCCGAAACTAAATTCCAAAACGGCCTTAAATCAAACCCCTGCACGTAAACCTAAACCGCTAACCCCCTAAACCCTTAAGAAAGACCTGCAGCCTTGTCCCAGGTGAAGAAGGCTTTTGAGTAGTCTTTCGTGTGCTTGTCGCTCTGCCACTCAATGGTGTGCGGCTTCAGGGACCTGAGTTTACATCCCGACAGTACCAAAAAGGCCATAGTTCTAGTAATAGTAACAGTTATAGTAATGTCATAGTAATATTATAGTGATATGACAGTAACATTGTAGCAATGTCAAAGTATTACTATAGTAAAATGTCCTGGTAGTACTATATTAAAATTATAGCAATGTGATAGTCATATTGTAGCAGTATTGTTTGTGTAACAATATAGGAATGTCAAAGTAGTATTATCGTAATATTCGAATGACATTAGAGTAGTATTATCGTAATATTATAGTAATGCTAGAGTAATCCTAAACCCTAAACCCTAAACACTAAAATACTAGAGTAATATAAGCTTTTGGTTTAGGGCTGAGGAGGGCTGAGGGTTCTTCGAGCCAAGGCCCTACAGGGCTGAAGACTTGGTGTTGTTTTGTCCGGGAGCTGCTGCCCACCTGCTGTTACGGTTTAGGGTTTAGGGTTTAGGGTTTGGGGTTTAGGGTTTAGGGTTTAGGGTTTAGGGTTTAGGGTTCAGGGTTTAGGGTTTAGGGTTTAGGGTTAGTGAGCTCAATTTAGTGGGAGGCTCTTCGCAATCCAACCCCTCGACCCTAAACCCCTGAACCTCTCAACCCCTGAGGCTCCAACAAAGAAATCAGGTGTAGGTTTAAGTCTCCGGGCTTTAGGCTTTTAGGATTTAGGGTCTAGGGTTTAGAGCTTCTGTCCTTATCCAGGAAAGCCACTGAACGGCATGGGAATTTGGGCTTAGGCGTTTGGTAAGTATACGGCAATTAAGGCCACGGCTATGGCTATGGCTATAACCGTAAATCCCAAGACCCTGTAAATCTTAAGAACCGAAAACCAGAAACCGAAAGACGTTAAACCATAAAGCCCTAAGGTTCAGTCCGTGTGTGTGTAATATATATATATATGTACATATGTATATATATATATATAAAGTTGTGTATGCATGTATGTATGCATGTATGCATGTACGCATATGTGCATGTATGCATGTATGCATGCATGTATGTATGTACGGATGTATGTATGCATGTAGGTATGTCTGTATGTATGTAAGTCAATCTGTAGGTAGGTAGGTAGGTAGGTAGGTAGGTAGGTAGGTAGGTAGGGTAGGGTAGGGTAGGGTAGGGTAGGGTAGGG